TGGGTAAAGTTTCTACGAAGCTTGCTGATAAAACTCTTTTATTTTACTTTCTGCAAAACAATTCCGTTACTTCTGGAGCTAAATGGAGATGTAGCTGATAATGGACTCAATTCTTCAAGTTTAAAGCAGACGCTGGGGTCATAAAGACATGGGATCTTAAAAGACTCTCCGAAGTACAAGCCCATCTGGCTAAGGTCACCTTTGGGAACAATTGCCAACTCTGTGCACCTTACGCACGCATCACCTCTGAACCATTTGCACCTTCCATAAAAGCCATCAAATTTGAGGACGGGGAGGAGAGAGTTTCAGCTCATCTTCACATGAACTGTGAAAATGTCTTTTTTTTTTTTTTTTTTTTTTTTTAGGGACTGTTTCAGAAACGTGAGTGAAATGTCAAAAAAAAAAGAAAAGAAAACACCCTGAATGGATTTTAAGTGTAGATGGATCCAAACATTAAAATTTTATCTAAGTTTTTTGTAAAATTAAGATTAAGTGACTTGAAGTCCTTCCAAAGCTGCTAGCTGTATCTAGAGGCCTCCCTCAATACACTCTATTGAAAAACACTCAAAAATGGGACACCTCTTAAATTTTCTTCTTCTTTCGTGGAAAGTGCTTTTGTAATTCCAGTTGACATCAGTGCATTTCAACCTGTACTTACTGAGTATGCCTAAGATTCTTAATACTTACCAGGTGCAAGGATGTCTAACTGATAGCCTCCTCCGTTGGCTCCCCCCACCCCGCCCGATGTCCCATGCAGTGGAGCCTGATGGAAGTCCCACCATTCACCCTAGTGTCCTCTCCTATTTTCGAGTCTGCAGCTGTGAATCTTCAAGATTAACTGGAAAAGACTACTTTAAGCACATGAGAACTCTATTGGCTCAGAATAAAAGCTGTATTGTTTATTTGCATTGGACAAATAATTATTATACTTAGATCCTTTAGCATTGCTTTCTCTCTTTTTTTATGATGACAATTCTTCACAGTTGCCAAAGTACGGCTAAAAGAAACTTCTCAATCTTTACGATGTTTTCATCAGATAACGAATGTGAAATATTTTCCAAAATACTGTGTCTTCTCAGACTTTAGAGTTTGTTCTTGGGAAGTCAGAGATAAACAAAGATGGCCTTAATAAATCTCTCTAACATTTTAAATATTCAGTTCCTGGTTCTTTTTCCCCATGGGGGCAGCAGGCCAGGCATCACCAACAACTCAGATATGCTGCCCTTAGTCAAAGATTGCATGACATCAAACAAACAAACAAACAAAAATACTATTTAGCAAATTGTTGGAGATGACTAGAATGCTTTTTAGTAGCTCTGCCATAATTGAAAATCAATAGCCTTATACAGAAATAAATCTCATGCCTTTGATAAACTATTGGATTAAGCTTGAAAAAAAAAATCTCTTGTGCAGGTGATGTTTGCTTTTTAAAAGATCAAATTTCCAGAGAGAGTTTTTAAAACATTTTGATAAACATTAATGAACCCACGTGGAATAATTATGTTTGGGACTAGACTGTTTTGAGGTGCTTTGGTTCATTGTTGATAAGTTTAGGGGGAAGAAGATGAGAGTATTTGCTTCCCTATTAGTTTTCTAGGATTATTACAACAGTGCCACCAGTCAGGGGGCTCGAACAAACCAAATCTTATTCTCTCACAGTTCTGGAGGCAAGAAGCCTGACGTCAAGGGGCCAACTGGATTGGTTTCCTGCGAGGGCTTATCCTTGGCTTGGATTTGGCCATCTTCTCTCCATGTCCTCACATCACCTTTCCTCTAGATCCCTATGTCCAAACTCCCCATCTGTGCCCAGTGAACTTAATGCCAACTTGACCGGATTAGAGGCTCCCAGGGAGGTGACTGGATGATCAATGGATTATTCTACAAATGTTCAAAGCTGAAGGCACTGTTGATAAATGGAGCCTGGGTGGAGGCTGGGCTTCTGGAAGGCATCTCTCCTGGCACGCTTCCCCTTGTCTGTTTCCTGGCACCAGGATGAGAGCAACTTTTCTCTGCCATACCCTTCTGCCGTGATGTCCCTGCCTTAGAGTCGGCCAGCCATAGGCTGAACCATTGAAAGTTGGAGCCAAAGTAAACCTCTCCTCTTAGAAGCTGCAGGTGTGGGGTATTCTGTCCCCAGTGGGAGAGCCAGCTGATACACTATGTTACAAGGACACCAGTCGTGCTGAGCTAAAGCCCACAATAATGATCTCACTGTAACTTAGATCTTCAATATTGTGTGGTTACACCTGGGCACTGGGAGGGTAAAGTCTTCAGCACGGGAACTTGAATGAACACCATTCAGGGAATGACAGCTGTGACTCAGTATCTCCATGCTAAATCTGTAGCACCTTTGCTTTATAATGATAAGAAGGGAAAGAGAAAGGAGACAGAGTGTTTCTGAATTTTCAACAAGAACTGGCTGGTTTCTTCAACGAATTTCAATATGGAAAACTTCAAAATTTCCCTGAGAATTCTGTGTGTTGCAGGTGCCAGTTTCCACTTTGTGTCTGTAGATGGCATAATGAAACATGGGCCAAGTTTGGTAAGGACACAGAACTTACTTAGTACACTGAAAATAAGGACTTGACCCCAAGCAATCTCGCTGTGGAACCTGAGCTATTCATCTCTTCGTAGCACCTTTGCCTAGTCAGGTTGGCAGAGGAGAAGCCTGTGCACATACAGCTAACTGTATCTGTGTCTATATCCAGTACCACACAGAGAACTTTCTTGGGGCTTCCCAGAAGACTTCCGCGCTAGCTCCAGCTCTACTAAGTCTTGCTAAATTAACTTAGTGAATTAACCCCCCCCCCAGCTTCTATCTACACATATATAATGAAAGAATGGGATTAGATCTGTGTTTCTCAAACATCTGCGTCGAGATCCATAAGCACTCCATTATACCCTGGAAGTCAGTACACAGCCACAGAGCACATAACTGAAACAAGTGCTTCCCACAATACCTACCTTCCCTACTTGTCAGCATTCTCCAATACCTTCTATGCTGTTATAATAATCTGTTTTTTAGAAATAGTAAGTGTGACTTACTCACTGAGTTTGTCCAAAGGCCAATACAAGTGACCCCGTTTAGACTTCTGTGATCTTGAAATCCTTTCAGCCTGCAGGGATGGATGGCTGTTTGGAGCCTCTCTTCTCTGAAATGCAGTTGCTTATTTGAAGCACATGAATAGTACATATTACTGGGCACATCTTTTTTAGCTCCAGTATGGGCTAATTGCTTCATAATACTAATGATGATGGTCACTTACAATTATTGGGCACCTCCTGCATGCTAGAGGCTTGAAATCCAGTGTCGCCTGTAGCCTGTAGGTGGTCAGTATTGTGATGTCTGGTTTATGTAGGAAACCAGGACCAGATAAAGTAATTAGCTCAAGGCCCCACAAGAAGGAAGTGGCAGGGCTGTAATTTGGACCGAAGCTGTTCCAATTCCCAACCCCTTACACACAATGTTTGCATTCAGAGAGGACTGGAAAAGGGCGTAGAGGGAGAAGTCAAATCTGGAAGCTACCACCAGTGAACATAATTTCTTCCCTTATGGTTTTCCATCCTTGACCGAAATGACTGTCCTTTAGTGTGACGATACCATCATAGCAGTGATTGTAAACCACCCACAGTGTTTTCTACTCTTCCAACACTCATCCAGGCCACCTCGACCAGTAGAATCAGACTCTCTGGCAACAGAACCCAGCGCTTTGTATCTTTTACAGCCCCCCAGGTGGTTCCAATGCGCAGCCAAGATCAGAAACTATTGCCTTGAAATCTTAGTTAAAGAAATTAAAGTGCTTTCAGGAACTTCTCCATCTTCCTGCAAACAAGACTTAGTAAAATATTGCTTAAAGCTATTCAGCTGCTCGTACAAAACTGGGAAGCTGAGGACATTTGCTGATTCTTTGGAGCACACCACACACACACTAACACACGCACAAGCAGCATTCTATCTGTTCTTCAACACTTAAGGGAAGCAGCAAATGCCTCAGGCATGGAGGAGATGTTTAAAATAGCAGCAGTGCCTCTGTGATACTGCCTAATAATTTTGAAAGTCGTTTTTTATGCAACTGGAGAAGTCAGCTGTTGAATTCATCAGAAGTGAGTGTGACCAGAAGTCAGAGGCCCCGTGGACTCGGGGTCAGGTCAAGAGCCAAGCGAGATGAAAGATGCTGTAAATATGGCAAACCATCGCATTTGCTTAAAAAGAGCATCAGGGCACGATTTCCTTGTTTCCATGTGAACGATGGGGTAGAAACCACTCCAGTCACACCTAGGACTTTCTGCCCCACATACATCCTTTTCCTATAAGAGTAGGAAGTCTTGCTTTTAGGAACCTCTCGCCCTGACTTACCACCTGGGTTATTGCCATATGTGACTGGCCTGTTCGCTTGCCAGTACAACAAGCCCACGCTGGTTCCACCGAGTTCCCTGCAGCTGTCTCCAGAACAGGGGCTGTACCATACTGCTGAGGTTTTCCAGGTCTCAGGAGACAGCCTTATTCATGTTAAAAATGTCTGCAATTTTCACAGTGTAGAGAATAAAAATATAGTCCAGCTGTCCCTCTGTATCTGAGGGAGGTTATTTCCAGGACCTCCTACAGACACCAAAATCTACAGATGCCTAAGTCCTGCGCATAAAATGACTTTGGGTTTGATGTAGCCATCCCACTTCTTTCTGTATACTCCAGATCATCTCTAGATTACTTACAATACCTAATACAGTATAGGTGCTAGGTTAATAGCCACCCTGTTTATGGAATAATAAGAAAAAGCCTGTAGGTGAGCACACAGACACCAGGTATTTAAGAACTATTTTAATGCAGTTTGTTGAACCTGTGGCTATGAAAGGCCAACGGTGTGACCCCAGCAAAGGAAACCCCGTTCCATTCTGCAGAGCGGTTGCATCTCCCTCAGGGCCCTGAATGCCCAGCTTGGGCCGGCAGGCAGACGTACCTGCCTCTGTCTCCTGTAACAGCTCCCTATGTTTGCTTGCAGAATGAGGTAGCTGCGCTGCTAAAACCCATTTCGGAAAAGATCCAGGAAATCCAAACCTTCAGAGAGCGAAACCGGGGGAGTAACATGTTTAACCATCTTTCAGCTGTCAGCGAAAGCATCCCGGCCCTGGGCTGGATCGCCGTGGTGAGTCTGGGGGTACCGGGGGCCTGGTCACCTGGCCACATGTTGTAGTGCTCAGGAGACATCGCCTCCCCTCCACACCCCTTTGTCCACAATCTGCTGCATGGAAGGAAGGTTGTTTTAGGCTGAAAGGCCGGCTTTTTTGTGCTCTGTTTAAAACGTGCTGCTTTCTATTCTGAGAAACAGAGCGTGTTTCACAGCCTTGCCAGAGCACAGTTTGCCTCCAGCTTCCAACCATGCTCCCTTGCCTTCCTTCTTCTTTCTTATCTTCTTTTCTTTTTCCTCCTATGCTTGGGTGATGGTCCTGTTTTCTCAGTCCCCCAAACCTGGTCCTTATGTCAAGGAGATGAATGATGCTGCCACCTTTTACACTAACAGGGTCTTAAAGGACTACAAACACAGGTATGTGCCTTCTTCTCCTATCAGATTTGCAGTTGATCACTTTTTAGACAGTTGTTCCTAAAACTTAAATAGTTCTTTATTGATTTCTGTTCATGGCCCTTAATGAGTGTGCTAGAAACTCTAAAGAAAACTTCCATTTCTGCAGAGAAAACCAAGTGGAAAGGGGAATCAATCGTCCAGATAATATGTGTATTTTAGGAGGCATACTTCTTGTCATTACTAAAGTGTCCCCATCTGAATGTGTATCATTGCTTTGTGTCTTGAGGACTGGCTCCTTGTGGCCACAGAGCTTTCCCAGTGGTCAGATAAGTGAGCAGATAACAGACAGGAGGAATCAGGAAATGATGTGGAAATCAGGAGCAGAGGTGAGACGAGACAGGAATGCAGGCAGCGAGAGGAAAACCAAGTGGAGTTAAGATAGAGCATGACTGGAGCAGAGAGAGTGATGCTTGGGAGAATCGCAGCCCTTTGAGGGCTGTGGGAAGCACATGTGAGGCTGGACCCTGGGGCTTCTCTGGAAACCCAGCGGGAAAAGACCTTGCCTTCGACAGCACAAGAAATAGATTCTAGAGAGGCTTCAGCTGGGGTGAGGCTATGAAACAGGAGCCATGCTGCCACCCCGGAGACTTCTGGGAGAATGTCTCCTGAACTATTTAAGGAGTGTCGCAGGATCCTCTGCCTTTAAGGTCATACTGGCCCTGTGAACAGCTGGTGAGAGGTGCTGGGGATGTTACCTAGTAACTAAAGGAGGAGTTGGGGCAAAAATAAAACAGTAGTGTTCTCTCACCCCTCTCTCTGCACTCAAGGGCGGATGCCCATCTGAGCCCTTGGGTGGTAGCAACAGAGACAACATCAGTCAACAAATACAGTGGCTGCTGGGGACCATGGCCTGAGCACAGCTCACTACTGGTCAGAAGGAAGGAGATCAGAGAGCTGGAATTCTCTGGATTCTCACCCCAATTCACCTCTTTAGCTTATTAACATAGACTTGAAAATAACCAAAAGAAAGAGATTCACAATAATATGACAAGTTTTAAATTGATTATACAAAAATGCATTCTCTATGTATACTGTGTAAATACCTGTCATTTTTCCAGGTTATTGATGAAATGTTACATATTTAAAATTTGTACAACTCTTTCTTTTTATTCTTCATTTTAGTAAATATTGAGATCCATAAGAAAAAAATTTTCCCCATAATTTTATTGATAAACAAATAGCAATGAGACAGTTTCAAATCAAATTAGTAGGACAGATTCAATAATTAACACATTGCATACATTCTTCCTAGTGGATAATTGCTGTACAAGATGTGGACTTGATATCCTATTTACAAACACTATTAGAACAAATTCCTCTATTCATTAAGAGAATGTAACTCTATATCTATCCTAACCACTTTGAATACACAGATACAAAATGGACATTCATCTGTATGCCCTTTTTTTGTTAAGTTCCGTTATTTGAAAATTCTAGGTGTGTAAACTCAGCAAAATATTCTAAAAGAGTCCAGTAGTCCATAATAGTATTGGGTCTTCCGCTTCACTGGCAATGTCAGAAATTGTTGACCTGAGTCCGCTACAGCCCAACATAACAGCATGGCTCCATAAGAAAATTTTAAAAAATACGTGTT